TCATCTTTAAATATCATACCCACCTCAGGCGCATTTACATCATCTGCCACTAGGTTTCAGGCCGATCCTAATAAATCCCAATTAAGTGCTATTAGGAGGATCATTAGGTATGTTAATGGAGTAGTAGATTAGAAAGACTCTAATCTTGATCTCACCGGCTATTCCGATGCTGATTGGGTTGGAAATACTAATGATAGGAAGAGCACTTCTGGTGGTTGTTTCTATATCAGATGTAATCTTGTAGCCTGGATGAATAAAAAGTAAAATTCTATCTCCCTATCCACAGCCAAGGCCGAATACATAACTGTAGGTAGTTACTACACTCAGCTGTTTTGGATGAAACAGATGCTGAGTGACTATAGCATCAGTTAGGGAATAATGACAGTCTTCTGTGACAATACGAGTGCCATCAATATTTCCAAAAATCCCATTCAACATTTTCGAACCAAATACAGTGACATTAGACATCACTTCATTAGGGAGTTGGTAGAGAGTGTTGTAATATCCCTTGAACATGTTTCCACTGAAAACCAACTAGCTGACCTATTCACCAAACCATTAGATGGCTTAAAATTTGAATCTTTTAGGAAAGTTGTCGGCATGTGTCCGCCTCCATGATCGTGTCCATAGGATCATGCATGCATAGGTTCATTACACTCATTCATTCTTGCATCCATTCCATCCTATGCATACTTGTGTGGTTTTCTTTCTTTTGTGGAGTGCTTTTTTCTTACTGTTGCCTATTTAAAAAAAAAAAGCACACACTTTTGACTGAGCGAGGGGTGTGCAACATCATGTTTGTTTTCTTGAAATTACATTTGGTGATCAAATGTGGGTACAATATATGAATAGTTTCATTAGTTCCATCACGTGATTTAAGTCCATAAGAAGTTTGGAGTTTATGTTTTCCAAATATATTATTTGCACAGGATACACTAAAACCTTGTAAGTGAGTCTTGACCGCATGTGTGAGATTTGGGATGACTGATATTTGTTGATGGGGGTGACTTTGACCGTAAATTGATCTATGACTAGTGTGATCTCATTTTGTGTTATTTTCCCTAACAAAAATTGTGAAAAAGGTTAGATCATGTATTATCTTATTCTTATCTTCGGAGCCTATTTGACTCGAGCAATTAAGTTTGCGGGGTCTTTTAAAACCTGGTGCCTATGGTCAACTGACTTAGGTTAACCAGCCTAAATCTCGCTACTGGGGTCATTTCATTATCATCTTCAACCAAAACATCATCATGTTGATCTTGCAAATCGTCCATACTTTGTGGGCTGTGATAAAAACAATTTTACGTTTAGTATCAATTGTTGTAACTCTAATAATTCTCCGTAAATCTTAATTATTTTATTTTTTGTTTTCATAAATAAAGTAAACATTACAAACAAAAAGTTCATGCACCATGGTAAAATTTGGTGAGCAAATCATAACAATGAATAAATTGATAACAGTGACTTCAATTACAAAAAATATTATGCAAACACCCATTGAACTACTCCCTTGTTGTTGTGCCCCCAATATACTTGATCGACCATTCAAATTTCAAGATTCAACAAATGTAGTCAGTTAATAGTTTTACAAATAACCCAACAAAAACTATTCAATTTCCTTACTGTTCCTATCTCAAGTTCAATCCAACCTTTTCCATTTATTAAAAAAATCAGTAACAGACAACAACATTTTGTAAAGCACAAACTCCCCTGCTTTGCACAAAGAAATTCTCATCATAGTAACCACTTTCTTTCTACCACGTTTATTTCTCTCTCGCCCGAATACACAAGTGCACTCAATGCTGCCTGTTCATTTTATACACTCACAAATTAAGAGTTATTGGTCTTTTGAGCTCGTCCAGTGGAACTCACTACAATCGAGATTGTTGCTCTGTACATGCGATTTTCTTTTGTTAAGGGAGACGAACAAGGCATATATTCATCAATAAAAAATTACAAAGTTCAAAGTTAACAATCTTTACTGTAATTAATTACTTTACAAAATGCATGAGCTAATGAAGATTAAAAGGAGACCATAATTAGTGCATTAATTACAAAAATTCCAATTAATTGTAATTTTCCAAAAATTTAAGCAAAAGTGTGCAATTAATTACAAAAAACAAGGTGAAATTTACCCACCTAAATTCATTCGCCGTTGAAGCCGATGTTGTCTTATTTTCCATTGCCTAACGTCGCCTAACAAATCTTGGCTTGCACTGAAGTTGGTACCATCTCAAATGGTGGGTTTAGGTCGCTAAATTAATTTTGGCAATGGTTTTCGATCGGCTGCAAAAGTGGAGAGAGAAGAAGCCCTTTGTTGTACAATAATGAGTCGCTGTTTAATTTTTTTCCTGCTCATTCTTCCCTCCAAACAGCAGTACCATTATTGATAAAAAAAAAAAAAAAATGATTGTCAAATGAAAAGGGATGCAAGTTAGCATGCCACGTCTGAATTTTCAAAATTCTGTATTTTATCATGTTTAGAAGCCTATCACAGTAGCACTATTGAGATAGAAAAGTATATTTATTATTTCACAATTTTTAATTGAAAAAATGGGCGAAAATGACATTTTAGGCAATAAAAGTTGAAAATAAAGGTGAAAATGTCAAAAAATGAAAGAGAATGTTGTTTTCCACAATAATAGTGAAAGATAAGGACATTAGGTGCTATTTAACCCTTACTAAAAATAAATAAATAAATTCAACTATGTTGAACTTTCGAGGGCTAATTGTATTTTTAATTATTGGAACGAGAGGCAAGCACGTGGACTAAAAAGCCAAGGTCTTCCGCAACTTACAAACGTATTCTATACCCAACTTCTCGCATATATTATTAGTGCATGATTGGGTGAGCTTAAGAAATTATTTGCGATTTAGTTTATTTTATAAGTTTTGAGTGCTTTTATTAAGCTTAAAATGAAATGAAACTTGTAAGATTTTTTTTTTTTCAGATATAAATTTGAAATTAACTTTCAAACTTAGCCAAACATGTTTTTTAAGTTTGAAAATAATTAAGTTATTTATTTTTAAACAAACCTAAAAAAGTAATTCTTTTAGTTCTATCTGAAAGCGAATTAACATATTTCTTAGAAATAAAAATTTACTTCAAAATTTTAGATGTGATATTAGAGAGTTGATGCATGTTTTAATTTCTATCGAGTTCTATTATTTGTCAAAACTCAACGTGGAGTTTTTGTTTATTAAGCTAAATTAGTTGTGGTCCAATGTCGTAATAGTGGCCACCAAATTTGGATGTATATATATATATATATATATATATATATATATATATATATATGAATTGTCATCTCTCAAGATTCCAAACATTTGATTGAGGTATCAAGTTAGACCTAATTTTCGCAAGTGGCCAAGTTAAGGTTTCTTATTTTGAAACTGTGATAATTTGAAAATGAGTTGAATATTCAAATTAAGGTTTCGAAACATTCATGTTCTTGAAAATTAAAAGATATGAAGCCATGAGATGAGAGTTAATGAGCCAAGATCATGAAAAGCGATTTGTCAAAATACTTGCAAACGACCGAATTAGTATGTTGAAAATGCTATTTGCAAGTTTGGCAAAGTCTAATTTCGGAAAAATCGATGGCTGCATCAAAGATACAATGCTAGTACATCTGAGAATTCTTAATTGGCTAGTTGTAAATAGTCGCATGGCTATGGAACAAAGGATTAATCTGGACCTACACCGAGGTATTGACGGTGATTAAATAACTAGTTATATCATGATATGTATAGTATTGGGGAGTATGCGACAAAAAATAAATCTACTTGATTTCAGACTTGGTACAATCCAAGGTCATCAACAGCTGATATCCGCCACAGGGTAAGCCACCGCCTCTCAGGCCCCTTGACTAATTCTACCATACAAGCAAACGATAGACAATAACTCCCCCCGAACACAGCTTTCAACTTTCATCGTACCGTGCTCTTCAAAGAGTAGATGGTTAAACACACTTTTTATCTACACATAAAAATGGTTTGATTTGAAGAAATAAATGATTTATTTCAAAAATAAAAATAATAAAAAAGAATCGTACAGATCGAATTACGGTGACCTAATATATGGCTTAATAAGTGATACTCAAAACTTCTGGGGCAACTTAATGTGATATTTTATATGTGAAGGAGTGTTTCTCATAAAGTTTGGAAAATGTATATGATATTATTTCTATATTGTGTATATAATTTTGTTTGGGGTAATAACTTTTCAAGGAATGCTGAATAGTTGTTAGAAGGCGAACAGCCTATCGATTAAAAAAAAAAAAAAAATGTCAATCCAAATTCCAAAATATATATAGGTTGGACGCCTGGTTATGAAACTGTAATAACATTGGCTTGGTGTGGTGGTGCAAAATGTTCCTAATTTATTAATTTTCTAATAAATCCAAAACCAATGTTAAGTAAATTAATTACATTGATGAATAAGGCTGAAAAATTTAGGCCTTATGTGAGCTGCATTCTTTTAAAAAAATACATTTTTAAACAGTGATTTGATATCATTTCAACCACACATTCTTTAATAAAATAATATTACATGCAAATCAAAAAAAAATTCCTCATTTTTTAACTATATATTCTTTATTAATTTACCATTTCAAAATACGTTCTTTCAAAATAATGTGGCTCAAACACATGATTGAGAATTATAATATTTCTTTTTCTTTTTGATATTTTGCAATATGTTACTAAAGGTCCAACGAACAATATTTTTCCAATATACACCAATTTTGACGGATAATGATATTCAATGTTGTTCTTGAATTGATTGCTCAATACATTAGAAGACATCACAATTTCATTAAACAATGAATCGGTGACCTCTCTAGTAAATTAACGATACTATCCTTAGTCAATTCAAAACATTTATTCAATCAGTAAATTGTTGCATTTAAACATTTTAATTGCGCAGACTGTCTTCCAGTGGAGAGAAACAGATTGGAGAAGAATTATCCAAATACTTGAGCCTACAAACTGCCAATAAATCACATGCTGAGGCAGTTAGGTGGATTAAAACCATAGTCTTCACATCCATAATTTGATTGGCATGGACTGGGATAATAACATGGCACAGGTGGGCACGGTTTACATGGCGGAGGCAAGCACGGTTTACATGGCGGAGGCAAGCACGGTTCACACGGCGGAGGCTTGCACGGTTCACATGGCGGAGGCTTGCACGGTTTACATGGCTTGCACGGTTTACATGGCTTGCACGGTTCACATGGTGGACACTTCGGTGGAGGCGGTGGAGGAGGCTTGTTTTCTCCCACACTTTCAATTTCGACAGAACAAAATTTCTTCCTGAGAGAAATAACCAAGCAAGCAACATCAATTCCTTCTCCAAGTACAACCATTTTATCATTTTCCTTTTCTACAGTCACTGAGGTCACTCCTTGTACACCAACAGCAATCAGCATGGCTTTTGATTTCATCTTTTCGCATTGCAAGTTCACCTTTATCACTATTTTTTGCTGCAAAATAAATAAATTCATTAATCCCATCAAAATGAAAATAATAAAAAAAAAATCAATTAATTTCTTGGAAAGAGGCTAATTACCTTCATGCTTTCTCAATGAGAGTACTACAGGGACTTAACCTATTTATATATACGGCAAAGAAACTTTCGTATTAAGGTTTATGGTGGAATGGAATCTGTAAGGAAACTAATGACTCAGCTAATACTAAGTTTCCCCGACACGAAAAGACAAAAACAATGAAATAAACCATAAAATAAAGGAAGCTAAAACCCTAAAATCTGCATGTGAACATGATCTAATAGGACCAGCGAATTAAAAATAAAACAAGTGTGTAAGAGGACAAAATCATAGAGTAATTATACCACCGTTTGGTAACAATTTTTCACTCCCAAAAAATCAAAAATTTGACCGATATTTCACTATTTTAACCGTCATTTTTTACTTCTTCACTCATAGGTAAAACTTACTTTTCTCTTTAACAATCAAAAAATCAATTCTCATAATCACTATCGAACAAATGTAGTGAAGTTGGTCAGCAGACGTCAATATTTACAATCTACTTAATTAGGAAATTAAAAAACTTCCCAAGTGAATTACGAGCTTGATATTTAAAGGTGAACAGTATAATTGAAAAGAAGAAAAACAGTAAAATCGACACACAGAATGTTAACTAATTTTAGACAATGTATGTAGTCCTTACTTCAAACAATTATCCAAACAATATAGGTCCATCTCTTCTGCTTCATCAACTAACCCTCGTATATATAAATATGAGCCACCGACAAAGCTTTTAGTCAAATTATTCATTTTTTTAAGTTTACAGATTAGTTCCACCACGTTAGATTTTAAAGAATTTTGCGAGTTACTACATGTAACTAAAGTGTACTTCGAGAGGTACGTAAGCTTCAATTCTGAAACTCGGCTTTAAGACAAAGACAGAAGTAAAAATTTATAAGCTGGAAAATTTATTAATTTACACTAAGTATCATTTCATAAACTGGATTAGGGAAATTAAAATATTTGATGTACGGACCATCCAAGGATAATTAATATTTTCTCAATAAAATATTTAAAGCATATCTTTATGGCCTTATAAGTTCAAAAACAAGAAGACAAAATGCTTATGCATGGAGACGAAATTCTGGGATGTGACAGCCCAGCAGAAAATTGATGCTCGTCAAAATCGAGCTGACATTACTCCAAACGGATCAAACCGTACCAATCGGGTTGGTTTGACGATTTAGGTTGGTTATAAGATAATACGTTATTAAAAATTCATTTAAATCGCAATTAATATATAAATTAATAATATATTGATACGTAGTGCTTATCATTCAACTATGATGTCTTCGTAAATTATGATTCAATCACGATTTTTTTCAAGAGAAATTGTATCTCATCTCTAATATTTCTTTAACATGATAAAAAATTTTGGTGTGATTTTTTCGTACTATAACAAAAAATTATTGAATGTCATCATCACTTGAGATTTTATTTTTGCAAAACGAAATCCTTAATAACTACCAACTTCGACTTTATCATTTTTATCATTTTCTATGATGCTCTTTAATTATATGTTTGTCATTTTCGATAATTTGACAGATTTTCTCCGGTCCCAAGGGCGACGGCTAATAACGTGTTTTGATAATCTCCAATTGAGTCAACTCTTTGAAGAACCGTGTCAAAATCGAGGGGCTATTTAAAGTATTTGCATTATGGAAGTACCATGTTGGATATTAATTAAAAGAATTAATTTATTTGTACATGGAGGTTTACACTTCGATTGACACGGTCCCACCCGATCTCTCATATGGATGAGGTCGGGGTCCACACCCAAATGTGTGGAGCCGACCTCTCCAAGTGAAAGGAAAGGTGGGCCCGTGTCAACCGGAGTGTAAGGCTCCATGTACGAGTAGCACAACCCTAATTAAAATTAAAATTTTAAATTAAGTCAAAATTAATAATTAATTTTGATCACATATTTTTGGCGAGAAGGAAGACTGACACAATAGAAACATCGGCTTCGAGCCAAACCCTTATACCAGTCCTATTGATCTAGCAAGGCAAGCTTCCAGGGGAAAATCTCTTGACCTAAACTCTCACTCCAAGTCTTGCTTAGTTTACTTGTCATGTCGTATGAGAATTCTATGCTCCTCGCAAAGGTATCCGTTCTTTAATTTATGGGACGGTAGATGCATACTGAATTTTCAGCTATATCTTTTATTAATTTTTATTAAAATTTATTAGAAATTTAATTTTAATAGCCACCAAATCTGAGCGTAAAAATATGCTGTTTCTATAGTCCGATTGGTCATTGTCGGTGTTGACTTTACAATAAAATGGTGTCAATTAAAAAAATAGTTCACCCTACCCAATAATTAATAAATTAATTATATTCTATAGTAATAGACTCTTCGCCTGTAGCTTTCTGGGATAAAAAAAATAAGAAAGGGGACACTCCGCACATTTATAACAATATAATATAATATATTAATACAATAATTGCATGATTGGGGATATGCTTAAAAATTTGAGTTATAACTAACTTTTATTTATAACAAAAAATTAAGTTTTAAAATAATTAATTTCTAAATTCATTACGGTAATCCTATTTAATACCACCAATGTTACAACATCAATTTAGATGACATTGAATTAAAAGCCTAATTAAATATGTCATATACTTTTACATTTAATGACTAAATCACACAGTACAATTAGCTAGACTGATGTTTCGTAGATAACATTGCTCATGTAGCATTGTCATGAAAAGTTGGCTTAGTTGTCAATTTTTTTCGTGAAGTAAGACACTTATTTTTATTTTTATCTTTTTTTTTTTCTTTTGACAACAAGAGGAAAATTATATATATATATACAAGAGAAAGATATATATATATCAAACAGGACAAAAGTCACCAACCTCATAATTTTCAACAATCAACATGTTGAAAAATACTAAAAGACCAAACCACTCTGCATAAATAAACTAAATAATAATTTTATCTAATAATATAATAAATAAAAATAACTTATTATGATCACGTACATCTTCAAAACTTAATTCGAATTACATAATTGAACTGCTATAATTTGGATGTTGGAGGTGGCTTGAATAGTTGTATTGTGTTTGATTCTCGTTTGACTACTTCATTTCTCATTTTGATTAAAATTTTTCGACCCTTTCAATTTTAGTGAAGCGGAATATCTTCCTTAGTTTAATGGCCAAGTTAACAGTATCAAACCTTCTCCAATTACCACCAAATAATTTTTCTCGTTCACAATATTTATTGCCATCACACATGTGCCAGTACCACAAACAAAAGTAAACCCTAATCAATAAATATTTAAGTTCAATTATCCAACTTAATAATCCAAGTACAGGGACTATATTAAAACAAAATGAATTTAAGACAAACACAAAATTCTGCTAAAAGATCATTGATCACGAGTGCATTTAACATATATATACACATGCATATGTAGCTCGCTTTAGACTTTGATCATGGATGTTGTTTATCTCGTTTTTTGTAAGGATGATGTGGACAACAAATATCGGGCTCACTCGTATACACTTAAACAAATCCCAACACGTGAATACGAGTTACTAGCTAACAATACTCCGACAATGTGAATGTAGAAGAAACAAAAAGTCACGAGATAGAGGTGTTCGAGGTCCGACGATAGATTCGAGAGATGATCGTATTACGATCACCAATCGTGAACAAAATCAAAACTAGTTAATGCTAATTTGTACTTAAGTAAATACATAATTGTTGAGAAAGAAGACAAATAGTGGTTTTTTGGTGTCAAGAGTTGCATTAGTCTCTTTATGTTACATTGGGGGTATTTATAGTGTTACAAATGAAATGGCGATCCTTGAATAGAAATACACATGGCCTCATCTCCTTAATTCAAGCATCTAATCATAGACATCAATTTTGTCCTACTAACATGTGGTAAACTCAATGTTTACACAGAGCCGCCACTTTTGTTGACAAGGCTTGACATTCATACTTATTATAAGTGTCACATCAATCATTCCTAAAAGATTTTATACATAAGTCCAGGATCTCCTTTGCGTAAGTCGTCACCACGTGGAGGGGGCCTTGGACTCATTCGAGGCTGCGTGCTTTAGAACTTCGGCTTCGCGGGAAGGATGGGCCTCAGACTATATTTCCCAGCCTCGTCGCTTGTGTGTGGGGCTTCGTTGAGGTGGTTCCAATGCTGTGAGTAGGTCGGCTACTTCGCTTAGTCATTTTTATCACATGGATAAGAGGGTCCTGGTTACGTGGTGCGAATGTAGCAAGGCGTAACAATAGTCCCTTCAAGTCTATATATGATTTATTTATCGTGTATGGAGTTCAATAATAAGCCTTAATAAAATGAAAATTTGTTGCCACACAATAGTCCCCCAAGTCCATGCATTGATATAAAGATTGTGATTCCAGTTGGAAGTTACATGTTAACATGTTATTGATGTATCTGCAATTGGTCTTAAGGCGAGGCAAACAAATGATAAACCACCGAGGCTAATTTTGGTTTGTCATTTCTTAAATCAATGTTTTTGGGAGCCATTGTAGGATGAGGCCGAACTTATTTGTGATGTAGCTGAAATTAATTTCGGGCCGAGGCACGAAGAGTAGAAAATGCCGAGGCTCGCTTATCTGTGAAGTTGAGGCAGTGAGAGCTAAACTTCGAGGCTTATTTTAGTTGCAATTATTGCTTTTGAAAATAATGCCAATGATTTGATGCTTTTGCCCATTACCTAGAAAAAGTAGCGAAGGCATTACGATTTTTCCCATTTGTACGGCAGTTATATTAAACACGCAATAATGATGATACGTTTGTAGTCTGTGGTGGATGCGTTGTGCCAGCGCATGAAATTTACACATCAATCTGAGGCGTCCGTTTAAAAGACTGTTTGAGTTCAACGCCTCAGATTTTACTTGAAATTGGAAGGCCCAAATAGAGAGGTTACAATCCAATGGTTGGGGCTCATCCCCTGTATTGTATAAAAGGCAAAGAAGTGTCATTTTGATACCTTTACTTTTGCAAAAATCTCGTATCCTCTTTGTATTTTCTCTGC